GTCCACCAACCCTTTAGGGAGGCCATGAACCTGGATGGGAAAAAAAATTACAACTTTATTTTCACTATCTCTCACTGAAATTTAGCTTTTCATTCAAACATTTGAATGAAAAGCTACATGAATTTGTTTATGTAGGCAACAGAGAAACATATGGACTCCAAAAACATCTGTTAACTTCAGTACATCTCGCTACCTAAAATTATTACACCCTTAAAATGTATTGTCTTGTTATTGATTTAACTGATTAAAAAGCATATATATTACTATATTACCTATTTATTTTTTAATATTTTGATAATGGTATTTGAACACTTGGTTTCCTTGATAGCGCAATCTATATTTATTTTATTTTATGTGTTTAAGATACATTTTTCAGAGAAGGGTTCCATAGATGTCACCAGACTCTCGAAAGGGTTCATGGCACAAAAAGTTTAAGAACCCCTGGCTCAAAGAGAAACAAAACTGCAAGTGAGAATCCATTGCCTGAACCAATCCCCATCATAAACTCTCCAAGCAGTGCAAGGAGGGAGTTTAACAGCTTTCTATACGCACTGCCTGTGGGTCACAAATCCCACAGCAGGAGCACCTGCAGGAGGGGGTCAAAAATGTCAAGATGGTTGCTGGAACTCTTTTTATATGGATCACTATAGTGCAGGAAGAAATTTCACTGTTTGTAGGTTTCTAAAAAGAGAAGTTGTCCCTTGCCACTCTACAGAAGTCCTCAGTTTATTCCAGAATAAAACCAGCCCCTCCTCTTTCAGATATATAGCCAAAACCTTACTTTTAAGTAATTACATGACTCATAGAGTAATGCCTGTACCCATAATGCCCATAAAAATTATACCACTCTTTACAGAAGACAGTTATTGATTCAAAGCAGTTTCTAATGCAGCATATAGAGCAGAGTTTCTCAACCTCAGCCATTTTAAGATGTGTGAACTTCAGCTCCCAGAATGGAGTTCTTCCCATGCTGGCTGGGGAATTCTGGGAATTGAAGTCCACACATCTTAAAATGGCTAAGGTTGAGAAACACTGATAGAGAATACACTGTTCCCAAGCACAGTTGCCACTTCTAATGCTCAGAACATATATACTTGCAGTATGTCCACAGTTTGTCACTTCTGCAGTTACAATCACTTGTATCTCTGAATGTCTACCGCAGCATTAAAATCCATTTCCAAAGCTAAAGCTAAAGAAACATCTAGCCATGCAGATTTCCTTTAACCACTGAAAAAAGACCCCAGCTGCCCCCAACTTCATATTAGCAGGTCCAGAATTCACTCAAAAGGCCATGATTCACATAAGGAATAGAGTTCAGCATTCCTTCTTTAGAAATTAAGCCCTGTCTAGCTTCACCTTCTGTTAAAGGCTTTGATTTACCCTCATTGCCTGGATTTGTTCAGTAGGATACATTAACCTGAAATAGAACAGGAGAGCTGTGGCTGAAGATAGTGTGGAAACTCAATGCCTATTGCAATCCGTTATGCAAACTGCACCATCCCTTTACACCACTATACAGTTCACCTGACTGGGCACAGCATGAGATGTGAATATAGCAACTATATCTTATTAACCCAAGTTTAGGGTTTTGCTTGTTGTGCGAACCCAGCCACTGAATAGACCTGCTTGAGAGCATAAACCAGCTCTTTCCAGGTTGTTGTCTTCCCATTTCTTGGCCTACAACGGCCCAAGCAGCCACTGGAGGACACAGTATTGGGGAAAACATGCTCTTTGTTCAAATGTGAGCTTTAATAGATGCCCACTGACTTCCCTCAGGACAATATTAGAGTTGTTTACACACCCTGCCAGTTAGGGGGGAGGAACGAATTCACACGGCACTGCTAATCCCTGTAACAGCCCTGTTCTGAGTGCTTTACTCACTTCAGGCATTGTAAGGGCTGTCCTACACCACAACCCTTGATGAAAAGAGAACCCAGGGGTTCCCTGCTGACGGGTCCCACCAAAAGTGAGGTATCCATCCATCCAGGGCCCTTCCAACTGTCAGGATCACAAACCGTCTGTTTCTGAGGAGACAAATGTCCCCCTCCAACTGCCCGCTAGTAGCAGCTGCTCTGAATCCCTGAGAACCATCAGCTGTTGCTTTCTCTCAACACTGAAACAAAGTAAATCAAGTTGGACTGCTGGAGAAAAGTCTTCTGCGCCCTGCCCTTTCCAGCGGGCCCCGAGGAGCCCTTTCCGCCTATGTGCAGTACAGCGTTGCCGTTCTGGCCGTCTCCCCCTCCACTCCCTCGCCGACAGGTGCGCGCCACCCAGGACGAGCAGGATTAGCTTCAAGCGGCGGGGGCGACCCGGCGTGCTGCTTCCGGCCATCTGTCTGCACGCCGAAAAGGCGGGCGCAGCGGCCGGGGAAAGCAGCGAGGCCCACGCGATGCCCACGGCCGCCGCTCCAGCATTGCGGAAAGGCCACGGCCCGGGCCCTCTGAGCAACTCCACCCACTCGTCCTGGCGAACTTTACTCCCAAGCAGGAAGCAGGGCTGCTTAGTAGCAAACAATAAGCCAACTTTCCCCTCCAGATGTATTGGGCTGCACCCCCATCAACGCCAGCCAACACGACCAGTTTGAAGAAGCTGTGCCAAGGTGCGAAACGAGGTTTCCGGGCTGAAATTTCTGTCACTCAGTGATACCTCTACGCTTCCCGGCGTAGCATCACTGCCCCCCCCCCCCCCCCCCCCCC